TTTGTGTCACTAACTACTTTGAAATGTTATGAAAGCTGTGGCTTCTCTCCCATGCATATGTGTATTGCTTTTTTTTCATATAATGCAGGGGGTTTCACGGACACCCTTCACCCTATCCACTGACCCCTCCCTGCAAGCTTAAGTGAAACTGTGTACTGAAGTTTAATGTTCACATTTATTCGTTAGCAAGAAGTGTTTCACTCCAGTTCAGTATTTTTCTTAGTGCCGTTCTAGGACAGCCAGCTTCAGAATCGTTTGTGGTACTTGATTTAAAAAAAAAAAATGGATTCCAGAATCTACTGTCCATTCATTCATTCACCAAATATTTGTTAATGTCTACTACATGCCAAACACTGTTTTAGGCAGTAGTAATACAGCAGTGGATTAAATCCCTGCCCTTGTGGTTATCACATTCCTCTGGTGAAGACAGACAATAAGCAAATAAACACATAAAATGTATAGTATGTCATATGGTAAGTATTGTGGTAGGGATCCCATGGTAGGGATAGGAAGGTCAATTTAAATAAGGTATTTGGGGAATGTCTCACTAAGAAGGCAACATTTTAGCAAAGCCCTGAAGAAATAAGGGAGTGAATCATTCAGATGTTCCAGGAAGAGACAAGAGAAAGTGCAAAGATTTGTGAACAGCACAGGTACCTGTTAAAGTTCAAGATACAGCAAGGAATACAACGTGGCTGAATCTAGAGTGAGGAAAGTGCTGGCAGGTGACCGTGGGGAAGGGGAGTTCAAATAGAGTTGACAGGATTTGACTGCTATCTTTAAAGTGTTATTACTTGCATTATAATGGACAACGGTGGAAATAGGGGCACCGTTAGTATATTATTAATAATCAAAGTGAGGGCAGTGGTGACTCAGACCAGAAATTGCAATAGAAGACATGGTGAGAAACTGGATACATTTTGAATGTAGAACTGACAGAATTTAAGATTCATTGGTAGAATATGAGAGAAATAGAGGGCTCAAAAATGACTTCAAAGGTTGGGGCTTGAACAACTACAAGACATTTACTGACGTGGAGGAACGAATTGAGTAGCGGGAAGATCTGAAATCGGTTGTGAACTTTGGATGTTTTGAGCTATCAGATGTACAAGTGAAATGCTGAGTTGAATGTATACATCTTGAAGTTCAGAAGAGAGGTCTGAGCAGAGAATATGAATTTGGGAGTTGACCGCACAGTATTTAAAGCCATTAGACTGGAAGAGGTCGTCAAGGTAAAGTGTTGAAAACAAGAAAAGAAGTCTAAGAACTGAAGTCTGTGGCACTCCCCACCCTGGAGATGAGAAAGAATCACTATGAAGGTCTGAAAAGGAACACCCAGTGAGGCAAAACCAGAAGACCAGGAAAGCAAGTGAAAAGGGGGTTGCGAGGAGGAGGGAGTACTCAACTTTCCACGTTAATGGGGACAAGTAAGATGACATCTAAACTTTGGATTTAGCAAGAGAAGTAATCCTTAACCTTGACAAAAGCAGTTGCAGTGCATGCTAGGGATAAAAACTTGACTAGGATGGGTTCAAGAGGAAGAATTGGAGACAGCTAATATAAAGCATTTTCTAACACACCATTGTAAAGCAATTATACTCCAATAAAGATGTTATAAAAAATAAAGCATTCTCTTTCAAGGTGGCTAATGGAAAATGCTAATGGAAAATGATTTATATCAGGTTTTCTATAATTTGGGCCAGGAATTTTTTTTTTTCATGTGGACCATTTTTTTAAAGTCTTTATTGAATTTGTTACAATATTGCTTCTGTTTTATGTTTTGGTTTTTTGGCCGTGAGGCATGTGGGATCTTAGCTTCCCAACCAGGGATCAAACCCACACCCCCTGCATTGGAGGGTGAAGTCTTAACCACTGGATCACCAGGGAAGTCCCAGGAATTTATTTTTTTATTACACCCTAATATGATTCCTACATGCACCAGGTTTGAGAACCCCTGTTTTAATGTATGATTGGTGTTTGCTGGCCAGTCATTCTTCAGTGTAGCAAGTGCAAATGATTTAAAAATTAAATGAAAATTCTTATTTAACTGCTGACTCAGTGGCTAAAATTTGCAGTTGTCAGTGACTCTCGTCAATCCAGTTACAAAACAGGAACATAGAGGCCAGGGACAAAAGTAAAAGTTCTTTTTGTAATTCCTGTTTCCCAGAAAGGATGTCTAATCAGCCAAAATAAGTTGAAAAATTTCAAAAATATTGACATCTTGAAATTCTCCTCTTCAAATATTGTTTAATATTTAGCATCTTTTATTTTAAAGAAAACAACGAAAAGGTGAATTAGTTTTGAGTTACAACTGCCAAAATCTGCTCAGAATTTAAGCACCAGTTTCTAGCGATGTCTTGGAAATAGTGTGGAATAAAAATCAAACTGTTGTGTTGATTTATCTGCTTTGGGGAAATTTTTTTAAATGTTATTTATTAAAATGAACCCATTTCAGGTTAGAGTAATGTTTTTTAAACTTCACATACTAATGAAGGAACCCAACGTGGTTTAAATGTCTCTACACTGTTTATACTATGAAATTAGGAATGAAGGAACCTTCTAAAGTCATTACAATACGACTTACCCAATTAAGGCTTTAGGCGATGTTAAATTATTTCAGACCAAAGAAAGTCTGTCTCATTTTTAAAAGACTCCAAAAGAAAGTAACTTAAACTTTCCTAAGCAATTTATTCATTTACTTTCAAAATGATTCTCTTTATATTTAAAGTAACATTTAAAAGCCCGTTTTCTGGTTCTGAAGAACCTAGGGGCAGGACAGGAATAAAGACACAGATGTAGAGAATGGACTTGAGGACACGGGGAGGGGGAAGGGTAAGCTGGGACGAAGTGAGAGAGTGGCATGGACATATATACACTACCAAATATAAAATAGATAGCTAGTGGGAAGCAGCCACATAGCACACGGAGATCAGCTCATTGCTTTGCGACCGCCTAGAGGGGTGGGATATGGAGGGTGGGAGGGAGACGCAAGAGGGAGGGGATATGGAGATATATGTATACGTATATCTGATTCCCTTTGTTGTACAGCAGAAACTAACACACCATTGTAAAGCAATTATGCTCCAATAAAGGTGTTAAATAATAAAAAAAGCACACTTTCCCTTATTGTATATATTCCTATCTAAATTACAAATTGCAGTTTGCTAATTGTAGCTTACCAGAACAGCCCTAAATTGAATGGCTGGGTTGACTACTAGTGTGACATGGGATAAGTCATTTTACTTTAGTAATGCCACTTCCTCATCTCTATAATGTTGGCATTATAGAATCCTAAGAGAAAAAGATGAAGAAAATATTATGGACTTCAGATAATACAGGTGTCACATTTAGTGATGGAAGTTATTGCCTGGCTTTCACATTGGACTCCAAAGCTCATGCCTAATTTGTTCATCCCATTACCTCTAGCGCTTAGCATGGTGCCTGACTTGAGTAAATGATAAATAGCTGTTGACTTGCTGGGAGTCAGGGTAGCTCATTACGGGAATAAACATTTGAACTGAACCTAAGAGAAGAGGAGACTTTTGGCAGAAGAGGAAGCCGTATGAGACAGGGAGAATAGCATGAGAAAGACTGCAGGTGAGGCAGAATCCCAGCTGGTTTGAGGGAAATGGTAGGAAATGAGACTGAAGCCATGTCCACAATGTAGAAGGCCTTGAAAGCCAGGTTAATCTGTATTTACATTGAGTCAGTCTTTTAATGTCTCAGAGCCTTAGTGTGAGTAAAACATGACCTGCCTAAATTTCAAGGTTGTGGTAAGGACCAGGTAAGGGGAAGTGGAGCAAAATATAATTGTACCTGGAAGAAAATGAAAATCAACGTATGGAACTTTTTAAAAAATGGAATATATGAGAGGATTGTTTTATAAGAGAAGTTAAATATACAAATTCAGTAATTTGAAGGGTTACTTTTCTTTAGGTTTCTGTATGTTGTACTACTTGTCTATAGTAGTATGTAGAGAATCTCACATTACAGAATACTCAACTAAGTATCTGGACTGTATGCAGTACTTGTAGTTATTGATGACTTAGTGGATCTTTACAAAAGGCAAATTACAGTTGTTTTCAACATAATTAAGTCATGTGTTCTCTCCAACTTTAATGTGCATACAGATCACCTGGGGGGCCTTGATGCAGTGCAGATTGTGGTTCAGGAAGTCTGGGGTAGGCTAGAAGAGTCTGCATTTCTAACAAGCTCCCAGGTGTTAGCAGTGCCACTGGTCCATGATTATAATAAAGGTCAAATGAAAATATAAACTGAAAATCAGTAGTCCATCCGAAATTCTAACAGATTTTACTCTTGTATTTTTAAAGCAAATTTTTGTCTTATTTTATAGCATGTAGCATAAATTTTAAGCCAGGAAAGAAGAAGAGGCAACTAGCAGGTTCTTCACTGATTTTGCATTTCTCTTTACAGCAACCCAGTGATGTATTATTTTCCCCTTTTTAGAACCGAGGTAACTGAGATTTAGAGTTGGTAAATAAAATGTTAGAAGGTCAAGTTTGCGTAGCTGTCGGTCTAATGTTCATGTGTTTGCTGTAACCACTATAGCATCTTAGTTCTTTGTTTGTTTTCATATATTTGTACAGATTAATTTTTCCCTCTTTAGTGAAAATCGTTTAGTATGTTGTTATTTTACGTTTAATTTTAAATTCAATTTAGCCTATTTCTGTCCTGTGCATAAAAGTTGCCAGTTTTGCTGAAAGGACACTCCTGTAATTCCATTATAGACCTTTTCTGAAACACAAAACCACAAAAGAGAACTAGTTATGTGTCTTGAGGAAGATGGCTTTTCATGAAGTCTGTCAAGCCCTAGGCAGTTGGTAGAATCCCATGATAAAGTGGGGAGATTGCCAGAATATATCAGAGCTGTACCATGCAAAAATAGGTTTTATCACAGAAGTATGATTGTCATCATAATGTATATTTTTATTTGACTTTTTTACTGCAGTCTAACATTGACATAAAAATATTTCTTTTAGAATGTGAAACACAGAAAGTATGCAAGGTGGAAGGCAACATATATTCACAATTGTTTAAAGAATGGAGAGACTCCTCAAGCAGGGCCTGTTGGGATTGAAGAAGATAATGGTATGTATTTATCTAAGTAAAATGATTTAGTAGAATCATAATTGCTCAATATATTATTATTCAGAGTTTTTAGAAGGAGTGATACAATTTTGTTTCCTTCATCAGGTCCGAAATCAGGTGTAAAATTATAAACTTAGGGACAAGTGAAAAATTAAGGCCAAACTGTTCTAATATCTGTCTGTGTCAACTGCTCTAATATCTGTCTCCGGCCTCTAATCAGATTTCTTTCCTACGTGGGACAGGCAGTCCTTTTTTAATCTATAAAATGTTTCCAAACCACAAAGAACACTGAATTTATTTTGTATATACCTGAGGTGGGTTTTTGGGGGGGAGAGGGGCAGGTAATACTTTCACATGGTTAAAAATTTATACAGTATATAAGAAATATGAAGTGAAATTCTCCTTTCCACCATACCCTTTATCTTCCCAGATTCTACTGAAACCCAAATAAGTAAATAATGTTTTTAGTGTTTTGTGTATTTTTACAGAGATTATTTTTTATAAATTACTAGTAAATAGGAATATATACCCTCACTTTTTTCACACAATTGGTAATACACACACTGTTCTACATCTGGTTGGTTGGTTTATTTATTCATTCATTTGGAGGACTATTTAGAATTTTATAATGCCACTCAGTAAAAAAGCAACACTACAGTTCTACCTATAAATACTATGTGTAAACTATTTTTGCAGCTCTTCTCCTAGAGGAGCAAGCTTTTATGCATCATTTCAAGTGAATTTTTTGCTATCTATTCCTGAAGGACATTTCATGATATATCCTTGTTTAATCTTGAGGTAGCCTTTTTCACATAGAATGCTTCTTGCAGTCATATAATAAATGCCTTGTATTCATATAATGCCTTAAAGCTTGCAGATCATTTTCATGTATCTCATACCCTCAAAAATCTCCAAGAGATAGTTGGTGTTATTTCTGTTTTACAGAAGAGGAAATTGAGGTTCTGGGTTTTGGCCTGCCTAATGTCATGGAACCACAGAGAAGGAGAACGAGAAGTTGAATTATTACTCAAAGTCCTTTGTTCTTTTTACTAACACTATAGCATGAATACTGTAATATTAAGTTGTTATTAAGTGTTTAAAGTTAACTATTCTAAGACATGGTTAAGTTTTGGAGTTATTTACAGCATGGCGGTGAAATTGGATTTTTTTCAAGTGTATTGCTACAACCTTATTTCTCACTTTTTCATTTAATATTTCGGAATGTTTTACATACTTCCTTCGCTGCTTTAATACTGACCACAGTCAGGCATGGTTTATGTTAGTTCTACTGTTTACAAAACCATTAGTCACTTCCAGTTTTCCAGAAGAAAAGATCCAAGATCCTTAGCCTACCAAGCAAGACTCACCATGATCTGGCACTGACCAGTTTTATTTCCTACTCCTGTCTCCTGTTGTCTTTGTCCACTAGGGCTGCCAGAGCAAAATACCATAGACGGGGTGGCTTAAACAAAAGGCATTTATTTTCTCACAGTTCTGGAGGCTGGAAAATCCAAGATCAAGGTCCAGCAGAGTTTGGTTTCTGGTGAAAATCTACTTCCTGGCTTTCAGAGGACCACCTTCCTTCTGTTCTCATATGGTGGAGTGTCAAGGAGAGGGGGCAAAGGAGGGGGAGAGGCGCAGATGATTCCTGTTGGATTAGGGCTCCTCCCTTATGACCTCACTTAACCTGTAGTTACCTCTAAAAACCCTGTCTCCGTATACCGTCACATTGGGGGTTACGGCTTCATCATACGAATTTTGGGGGGACAGTTCAGTCCATAACACCTATATAAACCCTTTATTATATCCATAGACGTTAACGGCAAGAAAGTACCTTTGTCTCTTTCTTTAATTAAAACCATTTCTCCCTCCTAAAACGTTCATCTTTCTTTACCTGTCTGAATCCTGCCTTTCTGTAAAAGCCTTCATGTGAATTTCTGCAGAGCTATTTTATGTATGTATTTATAGTTTCTTATAAAATATATATTTAATAAAGTGAGTATTTTTATAATTTATGATAATATTTATAATTTATAGAGCACATGCTAGGTGTTAGGCACTGTGATAGACATTTTACATATATTATCTAATTTAGTCCCCATATAATTCTGTTGGTAGCTGGGCATCCCTATTTAAGCTCTAATGACTAGTTAATGGAACCTAGGATTTGAACCCAAATCTTTATCATTCTAACGTCTATGCTCTTATTCTACATTTAAGTGGATGTATTTTTTCCTCAACCAGATAACAAGACTTAACACGTATATATTTTCCCCATTGAGCCTTCCAGGAAAATGTCCCAATCAACCAATCAACTTAACATAATCTAGTCTTCCCTTGAGAACATAGTACCAACATGATGAGAAACACTTCTGTGCTTTAGCCATGGTATAGAGCCCCAAATTTGTAATGACCTCCCATTTCCTAGGGCATACCCTTGTGCTTGCATTTTTTAAATCTTATACATTTTTTTCATTCATTTTTTAAGAAACTTTTTTTTTCTTTTTTAAAGTCATTTTGTCGGCGTTACCTGGGTACTAGGGTTGGATAAGACATGGTCCTGTACTGTAAGAGCTTACATTCTCATGGGGAGCTATAGGTTAATAAGTAGTTATAGTACATGTTGGTAAGAAGTGGTGCCTGAGCTGAGTCTTAAAAGATAAATTGAACTAATTAAGTCAGGTAAAGAAAAAAGGGAAGGATGCTACAACTGAAGAGAATAGCATCTTCAAAGGCAGGGAGGCGGATTGAGAACTGGCCAACTGTAAGAACTGAAAGAAAGGGAAAAAAAAGAAGAAAAATGTTTTTGAAAGTGAATTGGAGAAAGATAATTCTGCAGGTTGTAATGTGAATCCAGGAGCAGTAATCCAAATTATAAATAATGAAAATCTGGGTAAGTTATTGGCCAGGGGGGAATAAAGAGAAGGAAGTATAGTTAAGGAAGTGTAATCAATAGGATCAAGGAACAGTTTAATATGAGACAAGAGGGAGAAAACAGAAAATGATTCCTGTTTTGGGCTTTTGTGCTCAGAGGCATGGTGATTCCATTCAAAGAAATGGCTAAATACAAGATGAGCAGGTTGGTGGGAAAAGTCAAGGGAAGGCATTGAGATGCTAATGTGATTACTACTTGAAGAAGTTCAATAGCGATTAGATATTCTACCCAAGATTTCAGAAGAAAGGTCAAGGCTGAAAGTAGAATTTTGGAGTTGTCAGTTTGAAAGGAAGAAGTGAAGCCAAAGTAAAATGCTGGATCACCCAGGGGGAATGGGTTGCTTAAGAATTAAAACCAAAGGTGGAACCAACCTTTTTTCACCTTTAGTAATCATATTAAATTGGAGTCTGAAGCAGAGACACTTCTGTTATTACATATAAGGTACATACACATATGTGTAGTAAATGTAAAAATACATGTAATATTCCTAATTACTCTCAAACATTTGATTTGAAAGATACTTCACTGCTTATATATGCTTATGTATGAAAATACACCATGAAAAAAATCTTTGTTTTTTTAAACATATCATTTTACTTTTCAGTAGTATTTCTGAGGTATCATTCTAGATACACTGAAATACCTATAAATGATCAATTTTGTTTTTCAGGCACTCTTTCAGCATCAGTAACTTTCTCTAATCTTAAACTTTTTAACCTTTTTCTCTTGAAAGTGTTGATTATTATCTTGATCTCTTTTGTTCTGAAATGGTTGTTTTAAGCCCTCTATAATACTATAAATTATTAAATCTGTGTAATTTTTATTTTGCTTTCCCAAAATTGGCTTAAATTGAGCTTGTAATTTTTATTCATTATTTTCATTCAGTTTTTATAGAGCTTCTGGATAGTAAAAATTGTTAGCTATAGAATACTAATAATCCTTTTAGATATAAAGGAGAATATTTTCATTGTATACTTTTCAACCTGTTAATTTAAAAAATACCCTGGTGTCATTAGGTGTTAATGTCATAACATCTAACAGTGTCTGCTCAGAAATGGCTTACGGCTCTAAAAGAGGATGTTATTAAATCTGAATATGTATGCAAAAACTCTTCTTTAAAACTGGTTTTTCTTTTTCTCAGTGTAGCATTATATTCTCTTGTGTTTTTAAATTTTATAAGATATTCTAGGTGTAAAAGGTATTATGTTTAATAAAAGTCTAATTTTCTGTCATTCTGGAATTGAATTCTAGTAAAGCTAGTAAAAAATAATAGATACTATACCTTAGTTAATTTAGAGTAAGAGAAAAAGAAGTATACTTAATTTTTGAAAACAGTACTATGTCACCATATTGTCAGAAAATACTTAAGGAAGCCATATGATTGGTACAAAAAAGTGTTCTAGAAAAAATTTAGGCTCAACTGAAGGAATATCTGTTAACATTCAAACTCTAAGTTTCCATATCCACTTGGATATGGAACAACAAAGTGGCTCTCTTATTACTCCTTTCTACATAGACAGCTCAATGTGAAATTTTATTCCTTTGTTTTTGTTGATTAATTTGTTGAACAACACACAGGTAATCATTTAATAGCTAGTAAACAATAAATATTGAGTAAAAGGCAGCTGTCAGAAAGTAGAGTTCTTATGGAGAGCATAAATGTGACATGTTTTGCCAAAAATGTCCTCCATTTTTCATAAATTTAAAGAATGGGTTTAAAGAAAATTTATTTTTAAGAAAAATATAATATATGCAAAGATTTTACAGAGTTGGAAAGTATTAATTTAAAGAAATGTTGATCATACTGCCAGGCACAACTAAGTGTTTCAAGAAAAGGAAAAAAATTTAAACAATTATTTTAAGAGAAGCTGCTTATCAATTGCATTAAATAGAATTACATTCAAATGTCTGTCATGTCCGTATAGCAAAATAAGAATATTTGGCATTTCTATTTCAAAATACAGATCTTCCTCAACTTACAATGGGGTTATATCCTAATAACCCATCATAAACTGGAAATATAATTTGAAAATACATTTAATACACCTACCCTACTGAACATCATAGCTTAGCCCAGCCTACCTTAAAAGTGCTCAGAACACTTACAGTAGCCCACAGTTGGGCAGAGTCATCTAACACAAAGCCTATTTTATAATAAAGTGTTGAATATCTCATGTAATTTACTGAATAGTGTACTGAAAGTGAAAAATAAAATGGTTGTAAGTGTGTCGGTTTTTTACCCTTGTGGTTGCGTGGCTGACTGGGAGCTGTGGCTGCAGCTGCCCAGCATCACAGAGAGTACTATACTGCATATCGCTAGCCTGGGAAAAGATCAAAATTCAAAGTATGGTTTCTACTGAGTCCCTATCACTTTTGCACCATTGTACAAAAACCCCATGAATCAGGGACTGTGTGGACCTCATTTAACATTGCATGTATATTATATAATAGATGTTGAGGAAAATGAAGATGCTGGAACTGCCTCTCTGCCCAGTCAGCCACCTCAGCCGTCATCTTCAGCGTATGACCCAAGCAACATGCCATCAAGCAGCTATACTGGAATACAGATTCCTCCCGGTGCCCACGCTCCAGCTAATACCCCAGCAGAAGTGCCTCATAGCACAGGTAGGAAATTGAAGCTTAACGAATTTGAACTCTCCTTTCATAAATAACAACTGTGCTTCTCATATTTGTGCCTCATAATGATGGTCCTAAAGCATGATAAGATCTTTAAGTTCCACTTGAACCCACCAAAAAGTTATATCCTTTTCGTTGAAGTTTTAATATTAGTTGTATTTTAATTTTTTAAGAAATGACAAAATATATTTATGTGCAATTGATTACTATTGACCTTATGTTTTATTAATAAGTAAAGTTCCTGTGCTTTTCGTGTGTGTGGCTGTTTTCTTTTTCTTCCCCTCCCTTTCTTTCCCCTTCACTGTTCAAGAATAGCACTGAGGTGAGTGGGGCTTATTATAGGATGTGTCTGTCAGGTTCCCACTGTGATCGCAAGATTCATTTTTCTTGACTTATTCCCTTAGGACTCTGCCTCCTCCCTCAACATGGGTATTATTGATGAAGGAGCAAGCTTTGAGCACAGAATCTCAATAGCCGTGGATTCACAGACAAGTGAAAGGAGGGGGGTTGGGGTTTGGTGGTTTGGTTTTTTAATATTACAAACGTGCCTAAAAATAAACCACAGAAGTGATGCCTGCTATCTTTGAATAAATTAGTACTATATGTCTGTGTTTTCATAGAAAAAAGATCTGACAAAACTAGTCTCCAGGAATAAGTCAATGTCATAATATAAACTTTTGAAAGTTGCAGATACTCTTATTTACTTGTATTGTTGACAGAGTATAACCCTTACTTCCAAATAGAGGGGCATTTAAAACCATAGTTTAAATAAATCTTATATTTAATTAATTTTTTTTCCAAAAATTGTTTTTAAACTTTTATCTCAGCATAAGGGTAATCTATGGTAGTAACCTATATATTTCAAAATATTTAATTAATAGAATAAAAGTTGCCTTTGCGCCTTGATTTCTACTATTGCGGTTATTCACCATTACTTCATTGACTTTCAAATTTTCAGCCTCAGTTTACCCAAACCATTTAGGTTATTTTGCATGAGTTGAACAACATTTAAGAGTTTTCTGTATTGACCCTTGTAGCAGCAATTACGATTAGTTTCTTTCCTCCTGTTTTACAGCTTTCAACTTCATATCATCTACAAATAATGCAAACATTTTTGTAAGCATATTGATGAACATGATAATTTTAACACTGATCTCTTTAGTATCATCATTCTGTATATTTTACCCTGCCTGACTTTTCATTGCTTTAAGGTCTATGTGATAGAATTAATAGACCAATTTCCATTAGTTTTGTAAGTAAAATTTCATGGAACACTGTTTTAAATATTTTATTATCTTTTGGGAATATTCAGTATTTCCAGGGTAGAATGAAGTAAGCAAAACCAGCTACATATTTAGATGTATTTGCCTTTGATAAATACTGCTCAAGTTACACTATTGGTAGTAAGTTTAAAAACTGACCAAGAGCCTCCAACACAAGCATATTTACAGAAGGGTGAAGTGAGAATAAAATACACTTGGGAGTCACATAGTATTAGTAATTAGTTTCTAGTCCTTGCTAAACCACAAACTCAACTGTTACTCAGTTCCCGACTGAGGTTATTCTCTCTTTTAAAATGAAATTAATCATACTTCTCATAGTTGTTTCAATTATTAAAGGGGAAGAAGTATGAAAGTTGACTACTATGCCTAACACAAAATCAGTGTTCAGCAAATTAGCTTCCTTTTCCTTTTTTTTTCCTTTTTCTTTTCCCATATATTTTATTACAGAATTTTTTTTTTTTTTTTAAGATGTTGGGGGTAGGAGTTTATTTATTTATTTTGGGTTGTGTTGGGTCTTCGTTTCTGTGTGAGGGCTTTCTCTAGTTGCGGCAAGTGGGGGCCACTCTTCATCGCGGTGCGCGGGCCTCTCACTATCACAGCCTCTCTTGTTGTGGAGCACAGGCTCCAGATGCGCAGGCTCAGTAGTTGTGGCTCACGGGCCTAGTTGCTCCGTGGCATCTGGGATCCTCCCAGACCAGGGCTCGAACCCGTGTCCCCTGCATTTGCAGGCAGATTCTCAACGAGTGTGCCACCAGGGAAGCCCCTATTACAGAATACTGAGTAGAGTTTCCTTTGCTATACAGTAGGTTCTTGTTGGTTATCTTTTTTTTTTTTTTGACATCTTTATTGGAGTATAATTGCTTTACAGTGTTGTGTTAGTTTCTGCTTTATAACAAAGTGAATCAGCTATGTGTATATATATATACATCCCCATATCCCCTCCCTCTTGCGTCTCCCTCACACCCTCCCTATCCCACCCCTCTAGGTGGTCACAAAGCACTGAGCTGATCTCCCTGTGATATGCGGCTGCTTCCCACTAGCTATCTATTTTACGTTTGGTAGTGTATATATGTCAGTGCTGCTCTCTCACTTCGTCCCAGCTTACCCTTCCCCCTCCCTGTGTCCTCAGGTTCGTTCTCTACGTCCACATCTTTATTACTTTCCTGCCCCTAGGTTCATCAGAACCATTATTTTTTTCTTAGATTCCATATATATGTATTAACATACAGTATTTGTTTTTCTCTTTCTCACTTCACTCTGTATGACAGACTCAGTGTCCATCCACCTCACTACAAATAACTCAATTTCGTTTCTTTTTATGGCTGAGTAATAGTCCATTGTATGTATGTGCCACGTTTTCTTTATCCATTCATCTGTCGATGGACACTTAGGTTGCTTCCATGTCCTGGCTATAGTAAATAGTGCTGCAGTGAACATTGTGGTACATGACTCATTTTGAATTATGGTTTTCTCAGGGTATGTACCCAGAAGTGGGATTGCTGGGTCGTATGGTAGTTCTATTTTTAGTTTTTTAAGGAACCTCCATACTCTTCTCCATAGTGGCTGTATCAATTTACATTCCCACCAACAGTGCAAGAGGGTTCCTTTTTCTCCACACCTCTTCAGCATTTATTGTTTGTAGAATTTTTGATGATGGCCATTCTGACTGATGTGAGGTGATACCTCATTGTAGTTTTGATTTGCATTTCTCTAATGATAGTGATGTTGAGCATTCTTTCATGTGTTTGTTGGCAGTCTGTATATCTTCTTTGGAGAAATGTCTCTTTAGGTCTTCTGCCCATTTTTGGATCGGGTTGATTGTTTTTTTGATATTGAGCTGCATGAGCTGCGTGTATATTTTGGAGATTAATCCTTTGTCATTTGCTTCGTTTGCAAATATCTTCTCCCATTGTGAGGGTTGTCTTTGTGTTGTTTATGGTTTCCTTTGCTGTACAAAAGCTTTTAAATTTCATTAGGTCCCATTTGTTTAGTTTTGTTTTTATTTCCATTTTTGCATCTATGTTCATCAGTGATGTTGGTCTGTAATTTTTTTGTGACATCTTTGTCTGGTTTTGGTATCAGGTGGCCTCATAGAATGAGTTTGGGAGCGTTCATCTCTCTGCTGTATTTTGGAAGAGTTTGAAAAGCATAGGTGTTAGCCCTTCTCTAAATGTTTGATAGAATTCGCCTGTGAAGCCATCTGGTCCTGGGCTTTTGTTTGTTGGAAGATTTTTCATCACAGTTTCAATTTCAGTGCTTGTGATTGGTCTGTTTATATTTTCTATCTCTTCCTGGTTCAGTCTTGGAAGGTTGTGCTTTTCTAAGAATTTGTCTATTTCTTCCAGGTTGTCCATTTTATTGGCATATAATTGCTTGTAGTAATCTCTCATGATCCTCTATTTCTGCAGTGTCAGTTGTTACTTCTCCTTTTTCATTTCTAATTCTGTTGATTTGAGTCTTCTCGCTTTTTTTCTTGATTAGTCTGGCTAATGGTTTATCAATTTTGTTTATCTTCTCAAAGAACCAGCGTTTTATTTTAGTTTTATTGATCTTTGCTATTGTTTTCTTCATTTCTTTTTTATTTATTTCTGATCTGATCTTTATGATTTGTTTCCTTCTGCTAACTTTGGTTTGTCCTTCTTTCTCTAATTGCTTTAGTTGTAAGATTAGGTTGTTTATTTGAGATTTTTCTTGTTTTGAGGTAGGATTGTATTTCTGTTGACTTCTCTCTGAGAACTGCTTTTGCTGCATCTCATAGGTTTTGGGTGGTTGTGTTTTCTTTGTCATTCATTTCTAGGTATTTTTTCATTTCCTCTTTGATTTCTTCAGTGATCTCTTCGTTATTGAGTAGTGTATTGTTTAGCCTCCATGTGTTTGTATTTTTTACAGATTTTTTCCTGTAATTGCTATCTAGTCTTATAGGGTTGTGGTCAGAAAAGATACCTGATATGATTTCAATTTTCTTATATTTATCAAGGCTTGATTTGTGACCCAAGATATGGTCTATTCTGGAGAATGTTGCATGAGCACTTGAGAAGAAAGTGTATTCTGTTGCTTTTGGATGGGAATGTCCTATAAATATCAATTAAGTCCATCTTGTTTAATGTGTCATTTAAAGCTTGTGTTTCCTTATTTTCATTTTGGATGATCTGTCCATTGGTGAAAGTGATGTGTTAAAGTCCCCTACTATTATTGTGTTACTGTCGATTTCCCCTTTTATGGCTGTTAGCATTTGCCTTATGTATTGAGGTGCTCCTATGTTGGATGCATAAATATTTACCATTGTTATATCTTCTTCTTGGATTGATCCCTTGATCGTTATGTACTGTCCTTCTTTGTCTCTTGTAATAGTGTTTATTTTAAAGTCTATTTTGTGTGATATGAGAATTGCTACTCCAGCTTTCTTTTGATTTCCATTTGCATGGAATATCTTTTTCCATCCCCTCACTTTCTGTCTGTATGTTCCCTAGGTCTGAAATGGGTCTCTTGTAGACAGCATATATACGGGTCTTGTTTTTGTATCCATTGAGCCAGTCTGTGTCTTTTGGTTGGAGCATTTAATCCATTTCAATTTAAGGTAATTATCGATATGTATGTTCCTATTACCATTTTCTTAATTTGGGGGGGTTTGTTATTATAGGTCTTTTCCTTCTCTTGTGTTTCCTGCCTAGAGAAGTTCCTTTAGCATTTGTTGTAAAGCTGGTT